TAAGTTACTGCTCCAACATGTCCGAAGAAATAATAAAGAAGGTAAGAGTAACAAAGACAAAATAACAAAAGAGAAACGAAAATTGAAAAAAAGGGAAGAGTTAAGATTCGAAGCCGGTTCCTCTTGAACACGATCTCGACTACACTACGACGTATCATAATGTCGTCCTATGCGGATTGAAATCTAATTTAAAATCGAGACTTATTAATAACGGTGAGCTCAAACAGGTTTCAGCTTAAGAGTCCCGAAACAAGCGAAGATCGGTCGCGAAACGCACGCACTCGCACCCCCAACCCCCGCTCAGCTTCAAATGGCTATAAAAGAGTAGCTCAGCCGTAGGAGAAACAAAATAGCCAACAGAGGGCAAGGGAGTAGCAGGGGGGGAGGGGGCGGAATTATTTTTTTCATTCCCCTTTTTACTCTTAACATTCCACGAGTGAGGAATCACAAAAAACAGCACTTAAGAGTATTTGAATTTCTCCCTCTTATGTATCGGTCGCTATAAGACAAATCTCATGAATTGCTGTGGGGCGTTCTATGGAGGGGGACCTTTCTGTCATGTTCTGGATTTGTTACGAAGATCTCAACTTGTGATCACCAACGGTAAGGGCGCTCTCCTTCTCGATCCTTACGCCGATTTTCGACGAAGAAACCTTTTTCGTGCTACGCAAGAGATATCTCGTTTAGAAGCAGTCGCTTTATTCTGAACTTTATTTGTTTATATTATAGCTCTATCAGTATTAAGCCTGGCTACGGTTTCAAACGCTCTGGCTTCGATTCCCCTACACACTTCTTGCCACCACGTCCATATCATCACTACGGCCCAACCAGCCTCCTATCCAATGACCGGGTACAATTCTGACTGTCCGCCAACATTCGGGAGGAATATACAGCTTCATTCTTCCTAAAATGCTGGCACCCCGTCAAAATACTCTACGACGCAACAACCCTCAAGCCCAGCATCTACATTCATATTGCCTCGAAAACTTATAATCATACAAACTGAGAATCAACTATCATCTCTGAAGATGGAGTCAACACGTTCCTTCGAAATTTGATATTTAAATGCAACCCAGGAGACCAATACAGAACTCAAGATCCATTCTGTCTCAGTGTCTAGCGGTTAAAACGCTGGCCTTGTAATCCTGGGGTCTCGGGTTCGATTCCCGGCGGTCCCCGAATTTATAACTTGTGTTGGGCAAGGCCGTGGTCTAGGCAACACGGAGTTTTCCTCCGTGGCATCCCAACAATTACTCCATTCACACACAGAAGAAGGCAATGGCAAATCACTTCTGGATCATCTGCCAAGAACGTATATGAACAGGTCCCAGTCCGAGAAAAGGATGGAAGGATCCTGTTCATATGGACCTGTCGTCAGACAGAACACTTAAAAAAAAATCCTACATACATTCAGCATGCAATAATATTAAGGCGACAATATAAATCATTACAGCTGATATAATAACTGAAAAAGAAGAATAAGATTGTCGAATGGACTTATCACCGTGAAATATGAAGTTCCGAGTCTCTCCACGCCTCTACTGCGTGAAAAAACAAAAAAACAAATTCTGTTTGCACTGTCTTCAACATAACATAAACCAAACAGCACTGCAACGTTCACAAATCACGTAGAGCATTGTTTAAACTCGGATTGTGTTTGCAATACAAAAGATGTATGAGGATGTGATGGGGATGAACATCCTGAGTCTGCAGGTACAGGATCGGAGCATCGCGACACAATTTTGTCGTCAAAAAGTTTTACGAAAGCTGGAGAAACAAACTTCTGCATTTCAGTAAGGCTATTTCCCGTCATCATCATTAGAATAATTACGGGCTCCTTCGTCTTATCTTCCGCTTACTCATTTTTCGTCTTCGTCAGAACTTTCCTATTCATTTTCATCACTATCGTCAGTAGTTAGTTCCTGGCGAAAATAAAAATCTCCTGACAGCTACTTCGACCGAATGAAAGTAGATAAGTTCCCCTTAGAACTTCCTATTTTCAGGAACTATGAATCACTTAAAAATATCTATTTCCGAGATGGGAATGTGTCATAATTTTACTACGGTTCTGTACGCTAAGTGGGGTGGAAGGGGGTTCGAAAAAATGAAGGAGAGGGTGTAACAAAAATCCCTGCACGGTACATCTTTTATCTAAAATGTAAACTGGGGTGTTCTCAGGTGAGGACAGTGAGTGAAGAGGAAAGGTAGAATAAATAAGATGCAAATCCAAATATCGTAGAATGAATGAGCTGGCAGAGAAACGAAATGGGAATGGGGAATGTAAAAACCAAACAAGAGGTCGAGACGCTGGGAAGGGGATGCTGGTATAGAAGCACAGGAGTGCAAAGTTCATTTGCTTCTACGCCGTCAAGTGTAAATTGGGTTAACGTAGCTGTGAGTGTGAGGGGCGCTGCTGTTTGCGATGTCATCTTGTTCCACGGCAGCAGCGCAGCCTCTCATTGTTGCCGTAACCATGGCAACTGACAAGCCAAACGAAACCCAAGAATATGAGCTGCCAGAACAAAGGAACGCGACCCCCTGCTCCCGGCGTGTCGGTATTAAAAGGGGCGCTAAAAGAATGCCCTTCCGTACAATACGAATCAAGAGAAGTGATGATAAATTGAAGATAGAAAGAAAATGATACAAATAATATAAAAGGAAAATAAAGACAGAGTACTAAATGAAGAAAAAGAGGCTGGTGGGATTAAAGAAGGAAGGAAGGAAGGAAATAAGAGAAACAGAAGAAAACAGAACAACTATAAATTAAAATAGAAATAAGTAAAAGAGAGAACGAGCAACGCCATCAAAATCAATCCTTTTGGGCTGTCGAACAGACTTTTATAAGAAAGTATACGTACAGTATATCAACACATCAGAGGCATCAGCTAAGTAGAGACGCCATTATGAACGTGCCGACCATTATTAGGACGCCACTGGAACGGAATTATACGAGGAGTACGTTCGACTAAACAGCGCAAGAGACAGGGTATTATTGCTTCTATTTGAATAAGGACTGCACTGAGACATCTCCAGGACATCGGCGAAACAACAGAAAGATGAAATATCTCGCACAAAGGATCAAGAGGTGAAAAATACGACCCGGGAATAAAACACGAACTACAATACGTGCGTTGAAACAAAAGACGACCTCTTCCTGAAGCACAATTGAAACAATTGTGAACATAGTTCAACTTGACGCCGCAAGAGCGTACAGTGGTCGAATTGGCGGCCATCTTGTAGACGTTATGTGGAAGCAGAAAGATTGTCTTTCTGTTTATATGAATTTTTGAGTTGCTTTTCCAACGCAGTGGAGCAGCAGCGGATGTCCCCTGAGGAAGTGTGCATACATAACCTTTCTCTGCAAGGAGACATCTTTCGAACCAAGTACAAACAACGAGCATTAAATATTCATAAACGCAGACCCACTGTCCCCAAGTTTCTTTTTTAAAGCCGTGTCTCTCCTCCCACAGTATCCACTTTTCTTGCTAGATATGTACTTTTTTTTTAAAAAAAAGAACCAAAAAGCTGGTTAGAATAGAAGGTCTTGGGTTAAGAGCACTACTCATCTCATTGTGTCTCGAACAGAAGTTTGTATTAATATTTCGCGAATGTTGCATAAATATGCTCTCAAAGAGAGACTGGTTTCGGATTTAAACACGGTAGACTTGACTTTGGGCTGTACTATCGGTGTCCGATTCCCGGAAGGGGAGGGGGGACGACCTATTTTCCCTACGTCCAGACCGGTTCTGGGTCCCAGAAAGCTCCCTATTTGGGTTTCTATGAGTTAAAATTTGGCCGGAGCGTGTAGCTAAACACTCACCTCCGTTTAGTGCCAAAGTTAAAAATACCTCCATTCACCAATACGTCTGCATGGCATGAGTACAACGGACTAACGCTTGTCTGACAGTGATGAGGTAAGCGAACAGTCTATGACTCCTGATATGAAGATTTTTGGTTTATGCAGGTAACTTAATGTTAGTACGGAAGAAAATCTGGGGGGTTGCGATGGGCTAGGTATGTGGCTGGCATGGGGAACACATGAAATGCGCACAGAACATAATTAGGACAATATTTACTAATATGACGAAGACAGAACAAACTTTTAAGTCGGATCTTAAGATCGAACCTGAATGAAATTATTTTAGGATAGTGAACCATGATGGTCTTTGGTATTAGCGATGTTAAACTTCAGGTTACACAGAAAATTAGTTATTTCTTCTTGTGGATGTTTCAAAATAGTAAGTAAATTTACAACTTTCTATGGGATGAAGGATAAACTTTTACACGTACGTTTAAGCTCGTATGAACTAAATTTGAAAAAAAATAATCAAATTTGAAAAATAAGAAGACCTTATTTCATTACCATAAGCGTTAAGTAAAATAATGTTAGGTTACATGTCTGCCACTTTTTCATATTGAGCAGCAGCAAAGGAAAGCTACTTGCTTTCCGAATATTTTGTACGCATAATTATCAGCGCTGTAACTAAGACCCGGTTCACTCTCACAACCAGAGCGGAGAAATATGCTAATAATATAGCTACAGGAAGAAGACACGTCCAAAGAGGAACAAACAGTGGACAGAAGAAGGCCATGAATTATGGATGCGTCTGCTTTGCCTTTTCGTCTGCTTCGGATCTCCCCAGAGCAGATGTATATTATTTTATACTGAGTTTGTGCAGTGATATGGAAGTCTTGAGTGCGAGACTGGGATATGTGATGTCAGAAATTGCTGGCAACAATTTTTCACAGTCAGGACACGGTCAAGTTTGTCTCTTGCCTGATGATGGAGGCAGCAAGGACCTCTGAAACGTCGAAAAACTCTTACCAGACTGCGGTTCAACTACCTAGAAGGCACCCATCTTCAGACTTACCTCAAATCCTACAAAATGAAAAGAATGTGACCGCGTCCTTCCATATCCATTGAAATTTATAATTAATTAATTATCTCATAATTGAAATTTGTACAGTGTGAGCTACTGACATTATCACAGAAGAAACAGGAAAAAATTCCACGACCTAGCTCGCCGACGTATTGCTAAAAACACAGTCCTCCGTCGAGAATTGACGCCTGATGATCGTAAATTAGGTTGCTTGTTGGTGATTGGCAGAACACTTTTCCAGCAGTTGCTTGGAGCCACTCAGGAAACCGGACCTCTGGGTTGAGAAAGAACCCCTGAGCTCCCGATAACGATTTAGCTTCGTTCATGTTGATCCCATCGTTACGTGTGCCACTGTTGCAGTGGCGCGTGTCAGTACAGGGAGTGTCCATTTCGCCTTTCCTTTGCTATTCATGCCTTGCACTTAACATCATGTCGGAGTACAGCCAGACTATAAAATAAATAAAGTGTTTCTTATGTTCTTTGTTTGTTGCTTGCATCCAGAAGCTTCAAAAGCAACCTTTCCTTCTGATTATATCTGCTTCAATCTTACTTACCTCTTCTTCCTTTTATCCAGAAAGTACGACAGTCTAGAAACATAACTTCAATTTTACCTCATTTTCGTCTCCTGTGCGCTCACACACAGACATCCGACGATGAACGTGACCAGTAGCGTGCGTTTTATATCCTTTCGTCAACTCTGCTGGCCGAAACAATCTCCGCACTTCGGCATAATGTGCACTTACTCAAAGCACATGCTCAGAACACACGAGCATAAATTCCATTACGTTCAAAGTATACCCTAATGACGTAATGACCGAGTATTTTAATGTTAAAAGTCACATCGATAATTTAACAATAATTTTGCTAGATATTTCGTATAAATGTGAAACACTGGACTAATATATCAGATCTAAAACTTCTTGACGATGGGGAAGAGTCAATTGAATAAAAATTTTCTTGGATATTATCCATCGTCTAGTAAATATAAAACGTAGAGCTAATCCCTATCTCCGAGACCTCTTGGATATTATCCATCGTCTAGTAAATATAAAACGTAGAGCTAATCCCTATCTCCGAGACCTCTTGGATATTATCCATCGTCTAGTAAATATAAAACGTAGAGCTAATCCCTATCTCCGAGACCTCTTGGATATTATCCATCGTCTAGTAAATATAAAACGTAGAGCTAATCCCTATCTCCGAGACCTCTTGGATATTATCCATCGTCTAGTAAATATAAAACGTAGAGCTAATCCCTATCTCCGAGACCTCTTGGATATTATCCATCGTCTAGTAAATATAAAACGTAGAGCTAATCCCTATCTCCGAGACCTCTTGGATATTATCCATCGTCTAGTAAATATAAAACGTAGAGCTAATCCCTATCTCCGGAGATAGGGATTAGCTCTACGTTTTATATTTACTAGACGATGGATAATATCCAAGAAAATTTTTATTCAATTGACTGGACTAATAGTTGAGTATAAACCGACTCAAGTGCATTCTTCCCCTGCGGCTGTCAATTGAGACCGAAACTGTGTCATACAGCAACTGACTCTCATAGTCAGCCAATCAATCAATCAATCATCCAGTCAGTTACTTAAGCATTTAGTCTATGCAATCAGCCGGTCAGGCATCAGTCAGGCAGACTGTGCTCCACAGAGCTGTAGCTGTACGCGAGGTGGTGAATACATTTCAAAGAGGTAAGTTTTAATAACACTCGTTCCGGTGCAAAACACGAATTCGAAGGAGTGTCTCAGATCCTTATCGTGGCCCGTGCTAAAGTACAACTGTGATTAAGGATCAGAAATCAGTGCGATCAACAACAGGCAGAGACGATCAAGCATCCGAAGCACGAGGGGCAATGCTGAACGGCACAGTCGCAGGTGCTAGCTTCCGGCTACTCGCTCTCGCGAGGGCCATAGCCCTAGTGGTTCCTCAGCACGCACTTGCTACGTGAGATTTTGGATATAACCATGTTCTGCAAACATCAGCTGTTGGCGCGGTATTTTTAGGGTCCTCAAGGTTTAGACTTTGTACTTTTAAAAATACTGGTGCAACGTGTTCCCATACACATCACACACGTCTAAATTCATTTATAAATGTGCTGGAAGATTTTTCTTAGGAAATTGATAACGCTAAATCTGCGTATTACTGGTAGGATGCGTACGGACGTAAAACATTTCTTGCCATCAATGCTTTTGAGCGGGTTAGCAGGTTAATACGATCCTTTGAAATACCCCTCAAATTACATTATTTTAATAAAATTATCGAAAGAGTTCAAGAAATTTCTTACGTCGCTTTCAATAATACTGTTATACTTCCAAGACATCAAAGCAATTACAATATTTGACGTACGGAGACATACAGACAACATTCAAATAGCATTAAATCAAAGCTGGGGGAAGCTTAAAACGTGAAATGCTTGTCTGAGCATCAGAAGTCGTCATTATCAAACCCTCATATGAAAGATTCACTCGGCAGGAGCAGAAAATACCATTAAAGTCTGAACTTCTTCATCTCTGCTTCCTCAGTCTCCTCAAGATTTGGCTAATGAAATATAACGAGAGAACACAGCGCCACCTTCCTCTTGTTACATTCTTATTTGGATTTCTTTCTCATTCTTTCTACAAAGGCTTTGTTCTTTCTACACGATGCCTCCCACTTTAATTACAACACACGGGGACAGAAGTTAGGCGTGAATCGGTGAGAGGCGGGGAGGAGGGTTTGAATTTTGAGATGTGAACAGCCTGTCTGTAAAGCGTTTGTTAAATTTCATCAGATGTTTTGTTATAACAACTATTCCTAGCAAATTTAGTGCCGAGAAATGCCATAACCCGAATACGTGTACATTAACATCAAAATGTTTCATTAATTTCATTGTTATTTCTTTGATTTAAGAAAAAGAAGAAGAAGACTAATTGAAAATTCCCCTGAAATAACATTATAACACAATTTTATATAAGATTTCATTAACTATTAAAAAAAGTACATTAAAACTAAGAGAAAAGTGTTTTTAATTTGTGCCCAGATTAATAATTTGCGTTACAGCTAATGCAAGTAGCTACGTCAGAGAATAATATTAATATAATTAGTGTTATTTAATAAATTTTAATGAAATATATTACCTGTGTACAACTTATTAGCCTATTAGGCTAAATATAACCGTCCTATTCAATTTTATACCGATAAATTAACGTGTTTGTACGTCGTATTTATTCTGTATAATATTTATCAACATCTGTAGAGCGATTCTGGCGTGAGGTGTTCTAGAAGCAGACTGTGTCAGCTCTTGGGTTCCCCAGCAATCAACCAGCTGCTATTTGCCTAACCTCTTGAAGCAACAATAGAGTCACTTCGCTTTCCTACAGACTCAACGACTTAAAAGCGATTCACTGTGCAGAATTTTTCTGTCATCTCCTCTCAGCGTCTCTTCACCCCCTCTAACACGTAGTTCAACAGTAGCTGAGAATGAATAAATAAATCAGTGAATGAATAGATTTCATTGAGGGTTTGGAAATCCCTCGAGAAATACTTCTTTTCGATCATTGGAAAGAATCTTGCCTTAACCACCGTGCACTCTACCACCTACGTGGTGCCGAGCATAATTATGGCCGTCTCCCTGCATTGCAATGCTACCTTCGTCTTTCTGATGCAGTTTCAATAATTAATTATTCGCTTTAGCAGCTGAATAGAGATGCTAGACTAAGATGCTTCGCTGCACTGAACCAGATCCTATTGCAGATAATTTCCAAACCTTTAAGGCACGTCATGTTCCCGGAACCCCTCTCCGCATTTCTTAATCCACGGATTTCAACGCCGAATCAATTACTGAGGCCAGACAGTGATGATTATTGGGTTACATTACAAAGTCGTATTAACTATGGTACCGGATATTTGCTTATTTTGCGATCCTTTCTCAAACTACAGCGTGTGCATTTTTTTCATTTATATCACAAAACTTATATCAACAGAGAACATTCTGTTACTTAAATACGAAAGATCAACTTTTTAACAAATTTCATGAACAGACTCGTCCTTGAGAAGAAAATATTCGTTCAGCTGGTCAAAAAATTCCACGCCTTATATGGAACCAGGAAGTTCGATGATCGCTAATGATCCATATCTTGAGTCACAGGAATCCACTTCTTACTCTCACACCCTTTATGACGCAGTTTAAAATTATACACCCATCTCCTTTATGTGACGCAGTTTAAAATTATACACCCATCTGTGTGTAGGTCTAGCAAGTTTTTCCTTCCCTTCATATTTTCCAGCAAAACTTTGTATATATTTATCACTTCTCCCATGGATGCTACATATCTCACCCATCTCATGGTCCATGGTTTGATAATCCTAATAATATTTCATAAAGAGTGCAGATTATGAAATTGCAATATGATTTTTATCTGTTCCTCTGTGTTTCTTAGGTGCAAATAACTTCCTCAGCATCCTATACTCAAACACTGTCAATCTATGCCGTTGTCTTAATGCAAAAGGCAAAGTTTCATAGAAGTACAAAACAAGAGGTAAAATTTTAGCGCTGCATGTTTTAATCTATGCGAATTTAGACAGGCGAACAGGAAGACAGAAGATTCTAAAGTGCGTATTGACAAGAACTCCCTGAATTTAATCTACTCTAAATTTCTTTAGAGTAGATTAAATTCGGTGTCCGAATTTATAACTTGTGTTGGGCAAGGCCGTGGTCTAGGCAACACGGAGTTTTCCTCCGTGGCATCCCAACAATTACTCCATTCACACACAGAAGAAGGCAATGGCAAACCACTTCTGGATCATCTGCCAAGAACGTATATGAACAGGTCCCAGTCCGAGAAAAGGATGGAAGGATCCTGTTCATATGGACCTGTCCTCAGACAGAACACTAAATAAATAAATAAATAAATTTCTTTGTGAATGAAATTTTGATTTATTGTCGTCTTTCCCAAATTATTACACATTGTGGTGATCGATGTGTTATTTTATAACGCTGCTTCAGCTATTGAGGTCATACGGTAGTCAATTTGCGACGCTGAAAGGCCTATCTGCTGCTAAAGTAAGCCATACGTTGAAACAGAAATGCGTCGGAGAGAATAGATAGAAATAAGTGGGATGGTGAGAAAAGATACGTTGAACAGATGAGACAGAGGCACTGGTGAGTGAGAATGAAGAAGTGAGGGGAGCAGGAGGGGGCACGGAGGTGGGAGGGTTTAATCCAAAGTTTAATTATCTTCCTGTGTTATAATTTAAAACGAGGTTCTAGCCTTGCCTTCTCAATCTGTCGGATGGCTTTCATAATGCGTGCTTAACAGCATTGGCCTCCAGCGAGTTCCGTAATGCACTTAAATGTTTTGTTCGCAGCGACAAGCGGACAGAACGTCCGTGTATCAGTGGTCCCTTTGCTCCTAGAAACTGGTTACAAGGGCGACAGACACAGTTGCTGATTGGCCG